ACCATCGAGGAGGGCCTCAGTCAAGCCGATCTATTGAGTAATTCTGGCACGTGCATTACTAGCGAACCCCAAGAAGCGCCAATCAGTCTAAATCTCTTTACTATGGACAACATCTCTACTCGTGCCATCGTGAATGGGTATGAGTTACACACTTTCCCTTTCGTCATGATCAGGACAACGCGCTCCACTATTGCGGAAAGCCTACCGAAGCTGATGCAGGTTTCACAGGGACACCTCAGGAAATCCCCATGGGTCTCGGGTCCATAAAGCCAAAATGCACGGCGCAACACGACTCGAGTCGTTCCTCAAAGACGACGGTCTGAATACGATGTTGCCCTCCGTGACAACTTCGACCGAAAAGTCTCAAGCCGAACATGTAGCCAAAGCAAACCAGAATATCAAAAAGATCATGGCCAACTGGGATAAGTAAACAGCAAGTGAATAACTTTATGGAACTGCTTGATATCTGAGCACGTGTGTTGCTGGATAGGTACGTTCCCAACTACAGGGCGGCGGCTGAGTTGCTAATGTCATCGTTGTAGTGAGCGGATCACAGAGATTGATTTTCATCCGACTGAAGGAAGCTTATTGCTGAATACCTACTTGAGTACTTAAGGTAGTCTTCGGGACGATGCCCTCCACCATCCACTGTCGATATGGATGTCGACTGTCCGAAGAGCTGCAGCTGTCTTGATGGCATGTGGGGTCAAACATGGAACGGTACCGTGGTTCCACTTGTCCCAAAGGTTTGGGCCTACCGGGGATACACAGGGGTCTTGCGAAACCAGAGCCAAGTCGAGGTACTACCCAGGTTCTTGTACTTAGGCCCTGGGCTACGTAGCCCAGGTCTGCTCAATGACGATGAGGCACATGCACAGTAAAAGAGTTACCCGGCAGGTCTAGAGCTCCAGTGGGGTACAGGCTATGTATAAACAACGGCGCGAAGTAGCGGGGAGATTCCTGGCGCACCATCAAGTCACTTCACCATCAGGTACCCGTACCTTAGCTTACATTACTTTCATTACCAATATTACTGCAGGGAGACCTGCGCTCTGCTCTCTCTCCTCCGTATACCTCACTTGCTCTTGCATATCAGTTTGTTGCCCTTTAAATTGACGTCCATGTTTGCATCGCAATGCCATACGATCAAAGTGTCAATTTGGATGAGGTTGCCAAAGTTGAAGCACGAAGACGTCCGCCACCAACCCGGAAATCATGTAGCAAGTTGAGAAGAAGTCGTAAGAAAGCGGCATAACAAATAATCAGCCTAGGTAAAGACATTAGTAGTCAATCACGATAATGGGATTTGTTTATGAAATGCAATGATGTAGCTGATGCTGAGAAGAACCGTGTAAATCTACCCAGGCGTCATCACCAAGTGCTTGGAACATCATTGTGCAAAGTACTCGTCGATGACAGTGCCACTTTATCGATCAATCAATCGGGGTAGAAGATCAAGGGCAGTACGGCGTTGTTGTGATCAGGGCCCAAGAAAAGCTCCGTGATGCGATGGCAGCATACCTAGTCTGGGATATGGAATTTTTGCTTCATGAGCAATGGTGCATCATGAATACTCGCGGGTAGGAAAGAGACTGACAATCAGCTGTAAATCTAGCACCGGAAGACGATAACAACGGTTTTAGTCTTGAGAACACCTTAATCAGCCTTTGGAAGGGTTCATCAAACCTTGACCCCCCGAGGCCAGGCTCGTCGGACGTTACTAGCCCGACAAAGCTCGCAATCGCTTGTAAAATTTGTCTGGAGCGGCATTACTGACCAGCACTCATGCTTACTTGAGCTTGGGATAGCCACTCAAACCGAACGGCGTCGTCAGTGGAGGCAGACCAGCTGGATCATGCACACGTGGCCTAGCCCCCGACTGAAGTGCGCCGCAAGTCCGGGCGTGGGCGGCTCGTCTTGTCGAAACGATACCAAAGTACCATTGTACTCGGCCTGTCCTCGAGGACTTACCCAAGATGGATGAGAAAACTGTACGAACACTCAGGGTGGACGTCGGCCTTGGTGCACATTGACAGGACTTGAATTACCCTAGGCGCTTTGGAGTTGGGGTAAGGTACTGCGTACGACTGAAGCTGACACGGCTGTCTGATCAGACAATACCTTAGAATAGAGCCTAGGGTGTATAACAACCTTAGCTGATAAGTGTAGATAAGATAAGACAAGATAAGATATTCCCTACACCATCAAATCCCTGTAGAATCACTGCTTGGCCTGAGGTGGTTCCTCTGAGGTTGCCTGCTCGATGCCTTCTCGGAATTTGCCGTCATTAGCGTTGTTCCAACGCTCCCTACCTTACCTTTGTATTTTTGTACCCCTGCCCCGCACCCCTGCACCCCCGCACACACTGCATCCCCGCACACACTGCATCCCCGTTTAAGTGTTGGACTGGGTACTCCGTACCTTACACCACCTATGGGAAATCCAGAGAAAATGAGAAGGTCGACATTGGAAATCGAACACTGCCGTCTTTCAACGCCATCTCGACTATTTCATACAAATACCTTGATCTCCCGACAGCTCTCTTAAAGATGTTTTCTCTTTCAACATTGACACTCCCACAGACTGTAGCTTTACCAGTATCTTTTTGCCATCCCGGTCATCGACCCTGATCAGGTAATCCGCTAGTTGCTGTACACTGCATATCACCAAAACCGCAATGGACCCAGGTTCTGACAAGTCCATCGTCCATGGGTACGAACAATCTCTCTATTCTTATTGGAAACCGCAGCATCTGAATTCTTCCAGGATCATCTCACTGAACCAAGCTAATATTACCTCACGCAGTGACGACTCATCCTCGGGCCGCAAAATCACCAACAGCGAGGAAACCTTGCGTCTTCAAAGAGAACGACTTTGCCTTTTCGCACGCGACAGCGAATGCCCTAGTCCGATGCTGACCCATATGATGGGCTCGTCTGGAATTTCAATCAAAGAGAACCGCGGGCGCAAGCTTCGTGAGGTAAAGAGTGCCATTTCAAAGGTTGAGAAATGAAAGACATAATTTATTGAACCTTTGGCTGTGGGTGTAAGCAAGCGCACATCCAAAGATTGAAATGTAAGTGTGCGAGATTTGCCACAAGAACGGATTCAAAGGATTCTCATACGGCGATGCAGATTAAAATGATTCACCGCTAGGCGCTCCAAGTAGCTCCAGAGACTGGTGCAGACGCTCGGAAGGCGGGAAACTCGGCATCCCAAGAGATTCCAGCCCCGCCGCGCACCGTTCCGGGTCCCACTCCCCTCCGGTATTGGACTTTTACCAAGCCGGGCCATATCTCCAGTCTGGTCCAGATGCGGGGTGGGACGGTGATACTTGTGGCAGGGCTACTTGACTATTGGTACTTCAGTATCTACTGAGGTACAATCGAGGCACGTTCAAGGCAGTCGAGAAAGACCGCTGGCATGCGGTCTTTCAATCTTGTCTGACCAAGTTCTTGGGGCAATTGCTGGCCAGTCATACCAGTCAATGGAAGCCAGAGGGAGGGATTCTCGAAGACTTCCTCAAACGGCAGGCCCCACTTGATGTGCATTAAAGTACGGAGTATGACTTGTTCTATCGCCCCTCTTTCTGGCGCCTTTCAGGTTCGCAATGACCTCGGTCGGTCTTTGCTTTGTCCCAAACGCGACGTGCAACTCGTCGACATGCAGCTTTCCCTCCATTTACGACACCTGGACATAGTCTGATAGGCACCTTTCTTCTCTACCTCTGGGATATCTTTTTGCCGACTGGTTTCCGGGGGCTTTTGGTGGTTGTACTTGCCTTACGATCATCACATCTGCGTCACTGGCTAGGAGGCTGGTAGATGTCTAACAGGCACCAAAGTGCTACGAAGCTTCTTGAGTATCGCGAAAGACAGCAGACCCAGTAGTGGGTGATATTTATCTCATGGTTATTTAGATTTTATACAGTGCTAGTATACTCAATAACAACACGAAATATGCAGATCTTTGCGCTTAATATGCTCTTGAATTATGTGGCTTTGTCAGGCTTTACTGGCGGAAACAACCATCTGAAATTGTGTCGGGCGTTCCAGGGAAATCACACGGTGCAACAAGCATACAATACAGCTACGCAGTTCTCAAACTTTGCCCTGCGCTCGCGCTCGATCCAATGTAGTGATTCCATTACTTCTAGAAAGCAGACAAGGAGCGCATTTGAATTATCTTGGTCGATGTGGTCATCTTCCCACACACCTGAATAATTTCTCCCAGTCTCCCCCCCCTCCCCCCCTCCCCTTCCCCCATCCCGGCAGCCCGCAACTGCTAGGGGTATCCAATGGTAAGGTAGCTCGCTGCATCCCGTCACAACATCACAGAACACCTCACACAAGCAAGAACCTGGCATATCCTCTGATATGTATTACCTTAGCCCCAAAGTGGATTGAGTGCATCAAATCAAAGAAGCCAAACGGGCCACCCTCCTACGTCTACCTCCCCACACTGATTTTTATTTTCGCATCCACACATACCCATGTTCCTATCGATCTACTTAGTAGTACCTGAATTAGCCCAGCCTCTGGCTCTAAAGTAGCCCAATTGAAGTTTCTGTTTTTGTATGGGTACGTTCCGATGGCCTAGCCCTGGATGAGGATGCCGAGCAACTGTTCCGTAGTAGGTCGGCTGCCGTTAACACTAAGGCGTCAAGGCCTGGAAGAAGTGGGGTTGATGGCATGGCTGGGGGAACTTGCACGCGTTGATGAGACGTGCAACAGTTGATGCAACAAGTCCGTAGCAATCTATCTACTGGTTCGCCGCGCCGTTCCAGCTACCTCAGCTATTCCTGAGGTCATCTTCAAATTTCCATAAGACGATGAACGTCCCCGACCCGTCGCAAACTCACATTTTCACAAATCGCGAGTTCGTGTTTCGATCATCTTTGCATTTGCTAGGTATTGTCCACGGGGCGTTCTTTCTCAATACATTGTTGTCATATCCAGCATATTGTGGACCCTTGGTACCTAACACCGTACACTGCCAGAATGTACGCAGCCTCAAACCAAGCTACTGTCAATGGGTATATCATCCGCCCTGTCCCACTTCACTCACCTACCCAAACGCCCTCATATCTTTTACCGGTCTCCTATCCCCAGCAAAGCTAACGTTCTCTTTCCTCAAGGGATACTCCTCCTCCTCGGACTGCAGCTCAAGTCCTGCAAGACCAGCAGCTTCGACAAACCCGAATCCAGTCCTTCCTTGGGGACAACAACGGCCCCAGGGTCATGCTTTCTCAGCCCTCCACCTCGGCAGAGGATTCCATGGCCAAGCGTCGGGCCGAAGCCGCCCACAAGATTAACGACATCATGTCAAACCTCGACGGCTGAAATGCATTGATGAATTCGTGAAAGCCTCTTAAGTCTTGGGTGTTGGCAGAACACGCTTGTCTATACCATCCCGCCAAGTGCGTGCCCATGCTTCTGACATGAAGGAGATTTATCTGACAAGTGCGCTAAGTAGACCCTGACCAACCACCACCAGACTGCAACTTGCAACACAAACCTATGCTCGGATCCGACCAGGGCAAAATTCGCCGCAGTTTATACCGACACACCGATTGGGCAAGTCCCGGCCCCAGTAAGCCCCATCCTACGTACCATTTCGGCCCCGCTGCTTCGGCTCCGGAAAGCCAAATAACTGGAGAACGGTACCGGGCCGGTGAAGTTTCGTGCCAGGCAGCTTCCGTGACAGTCCTTGTGCACATCACACAAAGCTGGCATGGACACATCTAAGCTTATGTGTACCACACCACTACCTTGCAGTGTGGTCGGTACTTGCAGCATGTTTCGTACATCTAGATGTACCTCTCACGTCGCTGAAATCCATTGGCTGCGCCGCGGTGCGAGCCCATCAAATGGCTGCAGCCAGCCAGGCGTACCGGTGTGTCGGTTGCCTTACACATTCCTACCCCCAGTGGTATCCCGTCAGGCGCCCCAGCAGTGCCGCGCAGACGGGAGAAATACTAAAACGGATGCCATTCCCCTCCACCCTCGAACCCTCTCAGATTGACCTTTCATCACCTCTATTTTCCTATTCGATACATTTCCTCCCGTACACGCCTTCTCGATCCTCCGAATTCGAAACCAAGCCTGACTATTCCTCGGAGTTTTCCCCCACACTAGACTTCAAGTCTAGTTCAACCCAAAAAAGCCACCACCACGGGTTGCTACAGGCGACGACCCTGTCAAAGCGCGCCTCTACCTCTTCCCGAATCCCACCGACTTCGAAATACCCGCATACGATTCGATCTACGCGACGTCAGATCAGGGTGCAGATGTCACCGGTGGGAGAACAGAGTTCATTGGCCAATACAGGGTGGAACATCACATTGGGCGGTGGGACCTCTTCAGAGAAACAGAGTAAAGTTATATGCATGCGATTAACATTAGATAATACAACAAAGAAATTGAGCCGGCCCTTTGAGCCCCCCTTCACACCAAAACGCCGTGGATATCATGCAGTGCCCATTGTCATTCAGTCGTTAATATTTTGGTGTTGGTTCAGCTCACGAGGCCCTGGTTTCCCGCAGAGAGAGGATGTAAGGCAGATCGGTCGAGTCCGTCCGCGTTGCGAGTCTAATGACGGAGCCCGAGGCGGAACTTCCTGATGCCCTCGATCGTAAACTGACGCTAGATGAGGAATGGTTGGGACCATACGCCGGTCGAGTCTGGGCGAAGCTATTCATGCTGGAAGATCTCGATATGGCCCCTCTCAGTGTACCCAGCGGAGTAGCTGGCGCGGTGCGATATTGAGCCCACGTATTTGCAGAGGAGTTGCGCGCGTTGACGGTCGGCGCTCTCCTGTCGTAAGAGCCTTGCGTGCTCTGTGTCGCAGAACGGGATAAGCTGCGTGGGGTGGTAGGGTTTGTGGCCATGGGCGCATCATTGTCAATGTCGCTTTCTGAGCCTTCGCTGGGCTCGTCCAGAGGACCAAGAACTGCCGGATCGAGCGGTCGCATGCCGCGTAGTATCGCAGCAAACAAATGCATCAACTCGCGAAATTGGGCGTTCGAAATAGCCCGCGTAGAGAAGCGCGCATGTTCGTAGGTGGAGAGGAAATCGGCGGTTGTCGCATTAAGCGAAATTACCCCCAGCTCAGCAAGGTGGCCAAGGTAGTCGCGCAAGCTCATGGGTAATGGGCGCTGCAGCAAAGCCACCGCATCGGCATCGAGCATCGGTGGTTGACTGAAGGAGGTCGGATCGGGAGGAGCCAGTGTCAAGGCTTTTGCTTCGATGAGGTTCGGGAGCTCGGAGAGAACTGTGCTGTACTGTAGATCCGGGAGGTCTAGTGAGTTGGGCGATGACCAGCCGTAGTGTTCGATTTCGCCCCAAACTGGCCGTCGAGGAGGCAGCGCAATGCCAGTCTCCTTTTCTGTTGTTGCTGGCTTTTTCAAGGTGGGTAGCTGAAAGCGTTTCCTTGCCGCGCTACCGCCAGAATTCTGCTTCTCGACCAGTACCTCCTCCATATCGCCACCCACCAGATTCGTCTCGATGCGCGGCCTGGCGTCATAGGCAATGGCTGCGCTGCGCTTCAGGTCGGCAGTGATCATTTCGTGAACCTTCTTGTTCACGTCGCCCTTCTCGATGGGAACCCATGGCTTCGGTATTGAAGCGAGGATCGTTTTGTTGAGATATAGTCGCGTCGCGTAGATGAAGGATACGATCAAAGTGGTGAGGACCAGAGCGGCGGCAATGATCCATATATTATACGGCTGGTTGTTCGAATAGGCCTGGTAGATGGTGTCGCCGGGGGTTACGAGGAGGAGAAGGGCGAGGAGGAAGCATAGGACGAAGTAGAAACTTCCGTATATGAAACGGAATATCGCTCGCGGGGAGAACATTGGGGGCGATTCGAAAGGGTTTCCCAGCGTTGAGGATTCAACCCGGGAAGCGACGAGATTTCTGGTTGAGGATCATGGACCGACGGGCCAGTGCATGAGGTAATGTCGCAATCTGGAAAAGCATGGCTGGGCGGAAGAAAAACCCTATGCGACGAGGTAGAATGTAGCTGTAGCTAGGCTAATAAGAACAAGTGTGAAGTCTAGACATTACATAGGAGAGAAAAGAGTATAGTACGGTGGAGGGAGAGAATGGAGGTTGGTGAATATGTAAGTAGACAAGAAAAAAAAGGTGGAGGTTGCGCTCGCAGATGCGTGAAGATGACGACGAAGAAGATGATGGACGGGGGAAACGAGAGGTTGGTTGGGGGGCTTTCATTTTGTTTTAGCAGTGCCTTCCCGGCCACAAAGCAACAAAGCTCAGGTGGGGGTTCCTCCATGCGGACCCCTGTAGTTTTTAGGTAGGCTTTCTATGCTCTAATCCAAAATCCGGTTTAGCGGCAACAGCGGGTGGGCGGCAACGGGCACTAACTTTTTGCATTCCAGGCGCTCAAAGACAGATGCACAATGGGATGAGACGGAATGGGAAGAGAGGAGAGTCTTTGGAATGGAGGAACCTATTTTTTACCTGCCGTGACGCCGCGTTGGCTTTGGGAGACATATGAGCCCCATGACTAAGGTAAGGTAAGGTAAGGTAAGGTAGCGCCTGCTGTCTTACACGTGCGCCAGTGCCCAATCGCGGGCATCCAATCGTCTCGTATCATTGCTCTCGACTAGCTCAAACCGATGAGCTGACGCAGGCTATGCCGGCTTGTGCGCCTCACTTTAACATGTGATGAGACTGTCGGTCAGCTCTTCTGTTGATACAATCATGATTGTGCTGCAATGTTTTACTGCTTCGTGAAATCTAACTATGATACACGTCGTTATGCCGTTATGCGTGTGCCTGTTTTGCCTACCAAACGCCCCTCACAATTTACGGTTGTACCGTGATACCACGTATGCCAAAGCCTGTAACTAGCGGGCTTGCTGCATCTCGGGACCTTGGGATCCGACTTCACTCGTAGGAAGTGCCTGTTGGGCTGCCGCTTCCTTGGCCAGTCTGATATCCGTGCGAGTCAACCTCAAGTCGCTGCTGTATCGTTCAAACTCCGCAATCACTTGGGCCAAGCCCGTTTTCAAGGCTGCAATCACTGCTTCCACCTCTGGCGCAGCTCTGTCCTTCTCAATATCTGTCCAGTGAACGGGAAAGCTGTCCTTGAATGCCTCGATCTTGGTGATGACGGTTGTAAAGGTGCGGATGATGGTAGGAACGTCCTTTTGTACCCTGCCGTAGTTGTCATCATTGAGACTGTGAACGGCCAACCAGCTGAGCACATCAACAGCGTTGACGTATTGGCTTAGCTCTGAGTACGGCGTTCCAAGAATAACGGCAGTGAGGCGGTTGCGGAACTCTTGGCGGAAAATCCAGCCAACGTACTCATTGCCAATAACCTTCAGAGCCCATGTCTGGAACTGATTCATCAGCTGAGGAGACGACAGCGCCTCCTGCTGCTCCTTGCTCAAAACCTTGTCACGGGCCCCGCGCAGCGTCTTCTTCGCGATAGGGCTCAGCTGCGACACCGGCGAATGGCCGGGATGACTTCCCACCTGGGTCAGGGCCTTTTCCAGCTCGCCGCGCATCGTCTTGTTCGCGGGCTTGCTGGTGAAGATAGGGTCCTCTTTCAGTGGCGCTGAGGACCGAGCTCGAACTTCCGCAGCCGGTGCTGGGGCAGCCGGCACAACCGCGGGCTTGCCGTACTCATCGATTCTTTGTTCGATGTTCTTGATGGTAGTAAGGCAGTAAACGAATATTTGAGACCACGTAGAACCATCTTTACGGTCGATATCCATGAAGATGGCCTTGCGTCTGCCTTCTTCGTTGCGAGCAATGTATGCTAATTCCCAGAGGGCAAAGCACTGTCACTGTTAGCTTGAAGATCGGTGTATGCTGCCTTTGAATGTACACTTACCCGAACGGAGTCCTTCTTGCTCTTAAGACCGTTCAGAAGACTACCGTTTGGATCCTTGGACTCACTCGTGAGAGGTTTGCCGTTCTTGAGAGGTGCCTTGACCATGAACATCGAAAACGCATGGTTGGCTGTCTTCCAGATGGCAGTGATCAGGAAGCCTGCAACGGCGCATCGGTACATCAAATAGATGTCTCCAGGCCACTGAGGCGGAAGCATGTTGGTTTTGGGAAGGTTGTAGAAGGGTCGCAAGAAGAACAAAGCCCAGCCCCAAAAGAACGACCGCAGGGCCATGAAGTATACCACGCCGGCGACAATGGTGATACTGATACTTCTGACGCCTGACTGGATGAGAATCGCGGGAACTTCGCCCAAGACCTTATTCAGCGAAGCGTCCCCAGAAACCTTGACTTCGCCCCCCTCGGACCGCGCGACATCGATGATGAGCTTGTCCTGGTCTTGATAGAAGTGGAAAATCGACTGAACAGCGGCACTGACGGCCATGTAGCAGAAGAAGATCAACGTTCTCTCATTTACGCGGGCGCGGTCCCCACTATAGTATGTGACCCATCCCAAGTTGGCGCTCTCCGGCAGAGCCCAGAGGTAAACATGACTGAAAAGCGCGCTCGAGAAGCCGTAGAAGAGAAAAGCCTCGAGGGTATGGATGCTAAAGAAGAACTGCGCGAACGCGTGGAAGGTCGAGTTGGAGGCGCGGGCGCCGACGTGGTACTGGGCGATGCGCAGGATCAAGATCGAGAGACCGCAGGTGAAGAGGAACAGTGTTCGAAAGCCCGCGGGACCAATGGGAAACCAAGACCAAAAGTCTACGAGATGCAAGTTAGTTGCGAAGATTTGCAAGCTTGCATCTTTAACGGTCACCACTCACAGGAGCTCCAACCCGAGAGAAGGATGGCTTGCAAATAAGAAATGGCAAGCAGAATAGTAGCGGTAGAGGAAAATCGCCTGTGCAGCGCAGGCTGCAGAAAGTCCTTATACGGAGCCCTTCTGACTGTTGCCGGTGCCATGCTGAAGGTGCATGGTCATCGAGACCGAATGTTTTGGAGGGTGAGGTTGGGCGAGGCTGCACTGGGACTTGTGCCGTGGCCAGGATCTAAAAGTAAATAATGTAAAAATCTCCAGTACAACAACATGCAGCTCCCGCTTGAGCTTGCTTGAGGTCCAGGGAGGGACCCGCCCCTACACGCTGACTGAGCCACATGTGTCACGTGGCGATAACACAATCAGGCACCACAATTGCGAACCGGAGCTGATTGGACAGAACGTGGCGCCCTTACGTAGTGTTCCAGCCACAGCCGACGACGACATGCAGGTTCCTGACCATCATTACGAGACTATCTTCCCCAGACATCCTGACTGATACTTACTGGTCAAATAGATACATCCGTGAATCAAAACGACGCCGTTCCTTTAGTCCTCTTCATTTGTGAATACTTTGCCTTCGAAATCGCAATCATGTCGTACGACCAGCTATCTTCGCTCGAAGCCGGCCGATCGGGTCGTCAAGGCGGATACACCGACGATCCCGAGTTCAAGCAGCTTCAGTCCCAGTTGACCAACAAGATCTTCAACCTGCGGCGCAACATCCAGCAGCTAACTACCGATGTCAACATCCTCGGAACGAAGCGCGATACACCCCGTGTTAGAGAACGAGTCCACGATCACCTCGAGAAGACCCGCGACCTGTGCAAGGAGATTGGAGATGGCGTGAAGAAGCTACAGACATGGGACGATTTGACGGTTCGTACTCTACAGGCTACTTGTGCATAGCCGTATACTAATAAACCCTGTGCACAGAAACAACAAAAGTACGACCAATCCAGAATCTCGACCGACTTCCAGAACGTCCTACAAGAGTTCCAGGACATCCAGCGCAAAGCACTCGAGAAACAACGAGCGTCCGTCACAGCTGCGCGCGCAGCGACCGAAGGCGAGGGAGCGGATGCGGCGGCTGGATCCGAGGAGCGTCTCGAGCTTCAACAGCAGCAGGAGGTCAGCCGCCTGGCATCACAGGACGAAGTAGACTTCCAGGAAGCGCTCATTGTCGAGCGTGAAGAGGAGATCCGAAACATTGAGCAGGGCGTCGGCGATCTCAATGTGTTGTTCAGACAGGTGGCTCAAATTGTGACCGAGCAAGGCGAGCAGCTTACTTCTATTGCGGATAACGTGGAAGATGTGCGTGACGATACCCGGGGTGCTCAAATAGAGCTTCGCCAAGCGGCGAGACACCAGAAGGCGGCTCGCAACAAGGGGTGTTGTCTGATGCTCATCCTGGCAGTCATCCTCACCATCATCATTCTCGCAATCGTATTGGACTAGCACGGCATGGGGGGTATTGGGGGTTTCTTTATTTGATTGCTGTTTCTACATTGGCGTTTTGGTGGCGTTTCGCGAATATTGTACATCAGGCGCCCAAGTACAGCTAAGGATACAATCTGGGACAGCGTGTCTTCTCTCTCTATCATCGCCATGATTTTTCTCCCCGAGACTACACGCCCCGCAAGTGAAAGCGCTCGTAATGAGGGCTCGGCCTCCAAGGGTCGTGTTTGCCGCGTACCTTGTCCATAATTTTGACAGAGATCTGGGAGAAGATCATTGAAGAAATCCAGTAGACAAATATGCCTGCAGGCAAGTTGATACAAAGCGCGGGAATCAAGATTGCCGTGAAAAGTAGACCTCTTTGGAGGCGAATTCGCCATCTCAGACCCGGAGGCACATTCTGCTCAGACGTTGAAAGGTTGAATACATATTTCCTCATTTCGCCTTTGGGCATCGTTAACCAGCCCAGAGTGCCCATCAGCATAGCAGGCAACAATATTGTTGGATCGGCTACCGTGAGGTCGGTAAACCATAGCATGCCACCATTTGCCATGCCTTCCGCAACATAGCTTAGTGAATCCAGGTTGCTAGATACAGCATCGGCAGATGAAGAAGCTGCTGTTGATGCCTGTTCCGACACGAAAGTCGAGGCGACACCGGCCGAAGCCTCCTGATTCTTGTAGCTGCCAGTGAGCAAGGATAGAATTCCGCTGTTTGCACCACAAAGACGCCTCAAAGATTCAGACATGAGATACCATATGGGCAGGCCGAGTGCTGGGGCCCAAGTCTTCCAATTCTGGGCCCCTAGCTCTTTGAGCATTCGCTTCCGAATCTTGGCTAGTTGTATGGCCCTTGAGAGACGGGTCCCACGAACTTCGTGACTCCAGGCGGCCATGAATGGTGCGATTTCTCCCTGTCTTTCAACGACGCGTCTGGCGTAGTACTGAAGCGGCGCTCTGCACAGAGAGATGAGCAAGGCCGAGAACACGATGGTGCCTGTCCAATTTCCTGTCGCGTTCATCGAGTGCAGCGAGACAACGGCTTGCGAGGTAGCTTCGACGCTGCTGTTGACGAGCCCACCTAGGCTGAAGTTTCTGGCACTGATTGTTTGTTGAGGTGCTCGTACCGTCCTCGAGACAAGGTGTGGGCGCAGAGAGGCAGCGAGTGGCCTTGCTGATGAGAAACCGATGGATTGCCGCAGGCCGGGTGTGATGGCGCAACGCGCCGCTCTCAGGGAAGCCATGATGAGATGCTTATATGTTCATCAGAGGGCATTAAAGGGAACACTTTCTTCGAACGCTTGCGGCGCAAGGTAGTGGCCCTTGAAACGAATGATGCGGGCTGGTCAAGGGTCGTCAAGGAGCTGAGGCTAGATTTTGTCAATAGCTGATCATGAGAATATCTTAGTTGACATCGGACTTTCAGTGGCCAATTGAGAGAAGCACCGACGGGTTGGTGCACGGGCCATTTTGATTCAACGGGCGCGGCTTGAGCGGATCTACAGCTCGCCGGGGCCGGAAAAGACCAGGACCCTTTAGAGGTGGGGGTCAACTGCCCACTGTATTCGTACCGCTGCAGCTTCCCCCGCCCCATTTTCTAGCTTGCAGTACAACCTGGCCAGTTTGCGAGTCCCCTACCTCACCATAGCATCCCACGACGTCAACGGGCAATGCTGAAGCTGGACTTGACCGACGCCCCCTTCGGCTTCGACTCGCCCTCCTTTTTCCACCTCGACACCACCACTGGTTTCCGAGTTTGACGAAACAAAAACAAAACCTACTCCTACGAGTTCTGCGATCCCTTCACCCCCGATGCCCGAAACCTGCTCAGCGCCGTCTGGGCAGACGCCCTTCTCTTTTGGCCTCGATCCCTGGACCCTAGCCTACGTCGTTGTGCCGATCCTCGCTTTTACTCCGATCGCGACCTACATCATGTTTCCTCTGCTGATGAAAGGCATTGGTTCCCTGCTGGGATGGTACCTACGAAAAAAGACAGAGGGAAGGAGAGCACAGCTCCTGGAGCTCAAGACTGCTGAGCAACAGTCATTCAACAATACCCAAAAGAGCTCCAGCAGCGGAAAGAACAATGTGCAGGCACAAGCTTCGGGAAGCTCTGACAAGAAGGACTCAGAATGGACTGGGGTCGTTGGCTTCTTCCACCCCTTCTGGTACGTCGTAACGATTGTGAAAGTCGCCAAAAGTCAGGTCACTAACAGCACCCAGTAACGCTGGCGGAGGAGGAGAGCGAGTCCTTTGGGCTGCGATCAAGACTACCCAGGAAAGATACCCCAATGCACTATGTGTTGTGTACACTGGCGACCATGAAGTGAACAAGCAGGCCATGCTTGAGCGTGTCAAGGTTTGTCTCCCACTATAGAACCCCTCTTTCCTCATACTAATGACATGTCTCAGACTCGGTTCAACATCGACCTGCATCCCCCGACCATCAACTTCCTCTACGTCAGCACAAGACACCTCGTTCTGGCCTCGACATGGCCTCACTTCACCCTCCTTGGACAGTCGATTGGATCTGTAGTGTTGGCATGGGATGCCTTCCAGCTCCTTGTCCCTGACATCTTCATAGATACTATGGGCTATGCCTTCTCTCTGGGACTGTGCAAGTTGCTCTTCCGCAGAGTCCCTACTTGTGCTTATGTCCACTACCCGACAATCTCAACTGATATGCTGGAATCACTGGACCCCAAGGCCGAGACTGGAAGTCAGGGCGTCAATGCCGGCAAAGGCGTTGGTATCCGAGGCAAGGTCAAGAAGTTCTACTGGAAAATGTTTGCGGCCTTGTACTCCCGGGTTGGATCTACCGTTGATATTGTCATGACAAACTCAACCTGGACGCAAGGTCATGTACAGAAACTCTGGGGCCCCTACCGTCAGGCTAAGGGAAGAAACAACCCTATCGCTGTCAACTTCCCACCTTGCGCTGTCGAAGAGCTCGAGGAGGCAGTAGAGGTATCCGAAGCTAGCGAGCGAAAGCGAGAGCAGGCTTTGGTCTACATTGCCCAGTTCCGTCCCGAGAAGAACCATACCCTGGTCATCCAAGCTTTTGCCGACTTCCTGAACACCAAATCCGAAGCCGCCAAGGACGCGAAGTTGGTCCTCATTGGTAGTGTCAGAGACGACCACGACTCCAAGCGGGTGTATACGTTGCGCCTCTTGGTGAATGAGCTCGGCATTAAAGACCGTGTCGAGTTCCATCTGGACGCTTCGTGGCCCGAGATCTTGGACTGGCTGCAGAGGGCTTCTGTCGGTGTCAACGGCATGTGGAACGAGCACTTTGGCATTGGTGTCGTCGAGTATCAAGCAGCCGGTCTGATTTCCGTAGTCCACGCTAGCGGTGGTCCCAAGCTGGATATCGTCATTGAAATCGACGGCCAGCCCACTGGTGAGTGTTTACATAGCCTTCTTTGAAGTTGGAAACTAACCTGCTTGTAGGTTTCCACGCTACAAATGTCAAGGAGTTCGCCGAGGGCTACGAAAAGGCCCTCTCCATCAAGGACCCGCTCCCTGTTCGCCTCCGCGCACGCCGGTCGGCCAAGCGCTTCACCGAGAGCGAGTTTGACGAGAAGTGGATCGCCCAGATGGAGAAGTTGGTGGCCATGACGCCCTAGATGCATTGTTTACTCTTGCTTGTATTTCTATATGTACTTTGATAGACTCGAGGATACCCCTTT